TTTTTTGTTTATGTGATTGAAAACAGTTTTTCAATTTATAAATAGCCAATTGAATATTGAAGAAAATCAACGCTGCACGTCCGTATTCAGTGCGCATTTGGGTATAGAACGAAACAGTTCGTTCGCTGGTTAATTGTGATATTTCTTGTGTGGGCGTGGCAATGTTAGTGATGAGCAACTGCCACAAGCTGCCGCTGCTGCTGCTCCTGCTGCTGCAATCTCTGGGCTGGCTGCAAGGTATTCCAGTATCTCTCTCACTCTCTCTTCTTCCCTCTCTCTATCTCTCTGCTGTTTTAATTGTATTACCTGTTGTCAGCTCGTCGTGGCTTCGGTGCCGGCGAACAGGACTGGGACTATGTGGAGGTGCGAGAGGGCGCGCACCTCTTCTACTGGCTGCACTACACCACAGCGAATGTGAGCTCGTATACGGAGCGTCCGCTGGTCATTTGGCTGCAGGGCGGTCCCGGTGTCGCCTCGACGGGCTGCGGCTGCTTTGAGCAGCTGGGCCCCATCGACATCGAGGGCAAGCCGCGTGCCAGCAACTGGGTGCAGCATTTCAATGTGCTGTTCATCGACAGCCCAGTGGGCACCGGCTACAGCTACGTGGAGCCGCACGGTCACTACGCCAAGCACAATAATCAAATAGCCCAGGATCTCGTGAAACTGATGCGTGCCTTCCTGCACAGTCATCCAGAGTTTCAGCGCATGCCGTTGCACATTTTCTCCGAGAGCTACGGCGGCAAAATGGCGCCAGAATTCGCGCTCGAGCTGCAGCTGGCCAAGCAGCGCAACATTCTCGAGTGCCAGCTGCAATCGGTTGTCGTTGGCAATCCGTGGACCTCGCCCCTGGACAGCACCCTCTCCTATGCGCCCTACCTGCTGCAGCTGGGCATCGTGGACCACGAGGGCTACAGCAGCATCGCCCACGTGGCGGCCAAGGTGGCCAGGCTGGTCTACGACGGCAAGTGGCTGCAGGCCATGGACCAGAGCATCCAGGAAGTGATCGAGAAGTACACCGGAGGCGTATTCCTCTACAACACCCAGCATCGTGTCCATATCAACGATGTCTATCGCTACGGCGAGGATCCCAAGCTGAGGCAATTCATGATCAACAATGTCACGCAGGCGCTGAATCTGACCCACATGTCCGAGTGGATGTCTCAAAACGCGACGGTCTTCATCAAACTGGGCCACGACATCTTTAAGCCAGCGGTGCATATAGGTGAGTGGATCGAGAAAGTTGATCTGTGAGTGTGAAGATCATATGAGAGAGTTGAGAAATAACTAGGCGGTGCAGAGGGTGTGTGA